TGTTGAGCAACGAGTGTCAGTTATTATTCATTGATAGTTATGATTTCCTGCTGCTATACCGGGGCGAATCGTTTGTCCTCTTGCTATGACAGGTAGTACAACCTAGAAATTCACGAGCGATACAAGCGTACCAGACTACGAACTATACGAACCTAACGCGCAAACGAATCGACTCTTAAACAAGTCAGAATGTCAACCACTACCACAACAATACCACTGACATATGAAGACAAGAAGAGAAGATAGACCGTTGACAGAGAGCTTATTTTCTCAACAACAGTCAATACAGTTGACAGCGATGCTGAATTTATACATTTCTAAATGACCTTGACAACACTTAATCCACATTTAGGTTGAGATTTCAGCCTTGAGAGCAAAGGGAAGAAAAACTACTAACAGTGTGAAAACAGCCATGTTGGTTATTTTAAGATCATGGTTTTTAAAGACACTTGATAACTTAGTATGCAGTCTGCAGTAGGGTGGGACAGATGCCTCTACTTCCTCAAATCAGAATTGTTCAGAGCCTTATTCATCTTCTTTTAGTTGAACGTTGTGTACTACTCTACAGCGTTCGATTTGTCTTTTTTTCATAGTTCAGGTTTTTTAACGTACAGTAACTGAAGTCATTGCGCTTTTCCAAGAGGTTCTCTATACTCGTTAGCCTATCTGATGATTGCATATAAACCGAGTTCAGTATAAGATGCATCAGTCAATTTTACAGTTTGTTCACCGTCAGCTTGGATGTCTGAACATTCTGAGAGTTGTACTCATGTCTATAGTTATCCACATGCACTGATATGAACGATGAAATGTAATAACGTCTAGTGGATAACTATGGACATGAATTCAACTTTGAGAATGTAGCAATTGTGGACAGAGGTACAGACAAAGAACATCAGAGGATTTTTAGAGTTTTGGCATTCAGGTCAATCAGCAGGTAACATTTGTTTAGACATAGATCCAGTCTATCAGTCAATAAGAAAAATATATTGAAAAATTACAGGGTCAAATGTCAGGTAGAAAAATGACTTACAGGAAAGTTAATGCAGTCAATGACACAGTAATTAAAAGAAAACTACTAATCACCAACCACCTGGTCAGGCTTAGCTACCGAATCACTCACGCTAGATTTCTTCATAATGAAGTTGTTGCTGATGATATTGTCTCGAAAAATAATGAAAGCTTCACAATTAAACCAATAACTCCAAAGGGTACAACACAATCAAGAGAACTTAACTTTTTTATAGAGTAGGCTAAAGTCTGGCAAATTGTATGGTGATTAAAGCGAAATGAAAATTTAGTCACGAGTCTGACCTCTCAGCTATGTTGGTAGAATATCTGGCTGGAAAAGTGGTGGTCACTGGTTCGAATCCAGCCATGGTCCAAATTTTCACTTTTCCTCCAATCACCATCCCCCAATATAAATACTAGTCTACAAAACCACACCTATCTCACATAGTCAAAGTGACAACCAATATGATGCTCCTCCTCTCATTCTAATTCACTCACGTCTAGATCGCGATGAGAAGTCCTGACTGGCAGCCAGTGGGAGTAAGATCAAGCCGATTGTAACGCATCGCGAACCCACATGTTAGTTGGGTAAAACTCTTGGTGATTGAAGAGAAATATAAAAAAATCTGTTCAGAAGTGAGACCTCATAGCTCAGTTGTTAGCGCATCGAGTGAGAACTCTAATGGTCGCTGATTCGATTTCGACCGGGGTCCAAATTTTCACTTCACCTTCCATCATCACCCAGTATAAATAAATTCTTATCAATCGACATTAAGTTGTTATTCAACTGTTTGAGATAGGATGATAAAACTGATTTCCGAACTGTCTCAGTGACCTTGTAGGTAATGATTTGAATGCGTTTCTGGTCACAGTGGTTTGTCGCCTAAAATTTCAATAATGCACAATACTTACCATTTTTTATAACATTTTTTCATTTCTTCTACTTTCATTTCTAGTATTCTGGGTAGGTTATTTGTTTGTCTTGTAATTACTCGAACTTCCATAAGATTTTTGAATAAAGCAGGAAGAATTATAGTAGAAGAAATAGCATATATATATTTCGTCAGTTTACCTAAGCTGCCGTAATAATAATAATAATAATAACATAACTAAGTAAACCACGTACTTTTATAATAACTAATTGTTGATATGCTTGTAATTCTTTGTTATTCTACTGGGTCGAATTGTTCATCCAGTTCTGAACTTGTCAGGTGGATGTGATTGCACCCCAGTGAGTGGTGTTGTCTCCACCGAGACTGGAACCTCGCACCTTTCGCTTCAAACGCCAAAGCGTCATCCACTAGGCTACTGAACCACGATACCTACCTCTTTTACAACACATGAAAAGCACGTCCTGGGTTTCTCTGCTAGCCACAGACGAGTAAATTATCATAATAACTATTCAGGCAATATCGAGGGATCTGCATAGGAGCCGATATATCGGTAGAGGTGGAACATTTCAACTCAGTAAGGCAACGGAAAGTTACGAGCGTATCAACAAATAGTAATAACTAATACCAGGTGTACAGGAGATGGCTATTGTGTCTCAGTGGCCTAGCGGATTACTGTTTGGCGTTTGGGGCGATGAGTACGAGGTACGAGTTCCGGTGGGACAACGTCACTGACTGTGGTGCATGTACATCCAACTGATGAGTCCTGAATAGGATGAAGTACGCGTCCTGGGTCCTCCTACTAGCCACAACCAAGTAACTTATAGTACTTTCATAAGTTGGCAAGACTGTGTCAACTGAGACAGAAGATTAAAAAGACCGTAGGCTAACCGGAATTAGTGAAATTACCGATGATAAAAGTAGCTGTACAGGTTGATATTAAAATTATTGAAAAAAGATATTATTTGTTAATGAAAATTATCTTTTGCCGATAAATGTCTGAAATTTTTGCTCAGAATATTCAAACTTAAAGAAAAATTAGCTTGCGTTCACTTTTTTCGCTCACTCAATGATTCTATGTAAATATTATGAAACGGAATGTATCTTAACTTCAATGGCTTTTCCTCCATAAGTCATAAGAAAGGGCTGATGAAAACACCCTTCAACTGCGTTATACGTCTTTGTTCGGAAGAGATACTTGAAGAGGTAATAGATATTGTGAAGATTTGCCTTCACAATAACGGATATCTATAGAAATTCATCAGTCAGCACAAGAATGCACCGACTAAAACCACAGCATGTAATATAGTCAAGAAGAAGCTTGTTTTCCCATATCTCGGTTTCAACGGTGATAGTGTTTCCCATAGAATTAATTACAGAGTAACTGCTACCTTAAAAATGTCTCATCTATCCGCTTGGTTAATTGGACTCCAAGACAATCGAAGATTGGTTGCACTCCCGTGACCAATCAATACATGGAAATCAGTCGCGGCCCGAACAGCTCAGTGGTAAAGTCACTGACTACAACACTGTGTGACGCGGGTTCGAACCTCAGTCAGGACATCAGTTCCGTTGAGGTTGCAGATACGCCTTGCTGACGACTGCCAAAAAGCATGAAATCTAGGTCCAGGGCTTCCTGCCGATCGCCTCCAACCAACTAACAATCGAAGATTGACAAGTTCTGTCCTCGTACTACCTTCAATTGCATATACCAATTCACATGTAGGTGCTAAAACCCTTACATTGGACGAACAAAAAGGAAGATCTGTGACCACATATCTGAGCATATTCCAAGGAATTTGTTACTGATAGGTGAAAAAGTCCTGAATAGCGCTTTTGCTCGTCATTTTATTCATAGTGGACCTCAAGTCGATATGCAGAAATCGTTCGAAATAGTTAATAAACAAGTGAATTGGAATTTTCGGCATTTCGCTGAAGCGTTAACCATTAAACTATTAAAATCAGACTTAGGTATTCGGAAAGAAACAGTTATCAGTCTGTACCTTACATGGTAAAGTCTAATGTCTGTTTATGATCGATGCCAACCTGAAATCAATAGAATCCTCACAAGTTCCCAAATTGGACTTTTGTTTTGTTGACAATTATCACTGTCGATTTATATAGGCTGATCTTTTATTGTTTTATATTTCACACCCTTGATCTAGTTATCTGAATTCTGCTCACATTAGTGCTTAGTTAACATAAATCTCATGACCTTTCACAAATTTTGCTAAGGCTTTCTTTATACGCTGAATACAATCGCCCAACCCCCTCTCATCCAGTTACCACTTTAGAATATCCGTCTTATCCTTCGAAATACTGGCAAACTTAGCGCTGCATATATATTCATTCACTTGGTTCGTGTTTTCACTCATTTTTATCTGAAGGTTTATGGAGGTTTATTAATTGATATTAGGTTGGAACTCATCATGGGTTGATATCAGTTGGAGGAAGACTGGAAACCTGGGAGAACCTGACAGCGGTTTCGTCTCTCAGCAGAGCTCACCTAAGATTCCACCCCACCTCTCCGGGGATCAAACCCATGACCTTAAAGTTTCGTGGATCGGAATCCAGTGGTCCACATTTCCTATTTCTGTCAGGTCACGATATAGCGCCACATACATTTAATACCGTCGTTGAGTAACTGTCGTCATGTTCGACTTGGTTGACTCCACTTGTCACGACTTCTCATTAGAACATCAGGAATCACGTCTCGTAGCTAGTCATCGATGAGAGCTAGACTATCTAGAGGTTTGTGGAGATTTATCAATTGATTTTAGGTTGGAATTCATCATGGGCTGACAGCAGTTTGAGGGACATTGGAAATCTGGTAGCACCGGACAGCTGTTTCATTTGACTAATGTGGGACTCCCCAGCAGTGTGCACCCATTACTCCATATTGATGATATCATTAGTTCATTTTTGCCTATTTACATATTTGCATCTATTCATGACTGGTGGACATTCTTCTGTCAGATTGGACAATTTGGTCAGCTCATTCATTAGTAAATTCAACTGCCTGTGTTCAAGATTACAATCATATCTTTGTTATTTTGCATACAGCATAGAACTAATCAGTGTTCCCTTTTCTGCTCAAAGGTCGATGAATTGATTGAAATGAAAACAAAATCAAGACTATTGAACAAGAATTGCATAGACAAGTGGAGATGAATAAAAACTTGAAGTCAGATAACATTATATTGAATAGTTTAGTACAAGTAAGTTAATAATTTAAAGAGTATTTGATCTGGTTTCTTTCTTTAGAATAATAGTGACATAAAAGCCAATAGATTTTAGTTCAACAACTGTGCTTAAAATTGGTTGAGAATATCAGTTAAGTTAAATGGATTAAAGTGCGTCAGCTGCTTCATATGACAAATTCACAGTGATCCTTCAGGAATAATTCCAATGTAGTTTGAGAATGTTTGGGTGATCAGATGCACAACTTCATATGAAATAATGTGAGATACTGCCAGTTATGTGAAAGACAGTAATGATTCGTTAGTGGCAGTCTTCGCTTTATCACTAATGGATGCAATATATGAACTAATACCAGTGAGACATGACGAACTGTTGATGTTCAGTATTCTTGAACGAAGCTTACAGTAAGATTGATCTTTATGTATAACTGAAGGCCACTATCTGTCAGACAATGAATCATTGTGTACTCAGAAATATCTGTTATTGATGTATGGTATTCCTTGAAGTTGTCACTTTCACTTACCTAGGCAGTATCGTCTCAAATACAGGTATCGGCACAGACGACGAAGTCAAAAACAGGCAGGATCGGAAAAACAACAAGACAGGCTTTCATCAATCTGAAATCAGTGTGGAGATCTACTACACTCAACCCAGAATAAATAACAACATCCGGATTTTCAACACTAAGTCAGTCAGTCAGTCAGTCAGTCAGTCAGTCAGCTAGTCAGTCAGTCGGTGATTCTATATGATGGTTGAGAGACTTGGCGCTTCACGGAAAACACTCCCAACAAACTTCAGACATGCATGATCAACAGCTGTCATCTATGCTCACTGAATAGTGGAGATGGAGATCAGATGGATTACCAGAATAATAAGAATAAGCAAGGAAGAACTCTGACTGGCAATGAACCAGTGAAGTAAGAAGCTATCGCCCAACAAATATGCAGAAGAAAGTGTAGATGGATTGGGTTTGGTGTACACTGATAAGACGGTTTGCTGACATCACGTGCCAGGTCAGGCCATCGAGTGGAATGAGAATGGGAAATGACGAGTTGTGCATTTCACGTGATGTTGACATGGAGGAGATGGTGTGAGGAAGAAATGAAAGCTTGTGGTTAGTCGTTGAGGCAGGTTATGAGGACTGTGTAGAAGAGAGTGCAATGGTGACGTGCTACTGAATCCGTATGTTCCACTAGGAACCTTAGGGATAAGTAATAGTGATAAGTTCTTTGAATGAACTATAAATTTCCCTCTTTCAAAGTGACTGCTAAAGGTTAGTCAACGTAACTGTCAAAGTTGAAATGATGGTAAACATCAGTATTCATTTAACGTGAAGTATGATGTCAAACATAAGATATACGACACCAAAGTGTCCTGTGTGTATATGCTCTCCTAAAGCATTTTTCCTTACGTTGTACATATAACTTGTAGATAAGATCCAGTATCTAGAAAAAATATATACAGTTAATTAATTTGTTAAATGTTGTGCTCAATGAAATAGCATTATGTACGAGATTTTGAAGTTCAAAAAAGATGAATGTCATCTTGACTATCTGAGATAGCCGTGGTTTGATAGACTAGTATATATCTTAGGTGATTGAGGGGTGAAATGAAAATTTGGACCCCGGTCGAAATCGAATCAGCGACCATTAGAGTTCTCACTCGGTGCACTAACAACTGAGCTATGAGGTCTCACTTCTGAACAGATTTTTTTATATTTCTCTTCAATCACCAAGAGTGTTACCCAGCTAACATGTGGGTTCACGATGCGTTACAATCGGCTTGATCTTACTCCCACTGGCTGCCAGTTAGGACTTCTTATCGCAATCTAGACGTGAGTGAATTAGAATGAGAGGAGGAGCATCATATTGATTGTCACTTTGACTATGTGAGATAGGTGTGGTTTTGTAGACTAGTATTTATACTGGGGGATGGTGATTGGAGGAAAAGTGAAAATTTGGACCATGGCTGGATTCGAACCAATGACCATGGGGTCTGCCATATGATTCTCTGCCAAGTAATCGACAAATCTACATGGCTGGTTTGATTTGTTATGTTTATTAAGCTGTTTGTACTACAGTAACGCCTGAAGAGCATCTAATTGTACACAATATTGTTCGCTGATATGTCTTGTTCAAATTTATATGATGGGAATTTTCGAAACTTTGATTTAGTTCAACTGTGAAAATTATAGTGGAGTTGTGAGAAAGAATAAAATGCTATTTTGGAAAGATGAATATCTGAACATCAGTAATAATAATAATAATAATGGTGGCAACGATTAAAGTTACTTTTAATAGCAGTTGAAGTATGAGTGGACTATGTAATATGCTGACTACTTCATAGAATGCGTATAACGTGGAATTGATGAAAATAGCAGATTAACCGATTGCTATGTAATAGGATTAGATAAGTTGTTAACATACAACCAGCATTTTTTTACATGATCAAGGCCACCAAGTGAAATAACACCAGGAACCACTGAAACATGAATAAATTGGGTATGAATGATATGGAATACGGTGAAATCAAATTGTGCTCTGCTTTCTTTTCTTATATTATTCAGAACTGTTTATGTGAGTCATTAATGTCTGCCATATTTGTAGGATTAGTAACCCATCTCTTCGGTTTATTTGTGTGACTGTGTGACAGCACGCATGGTGATGACTGAGCTCTCTCTTGGAATTCTCATCTTGCTGGAGTATACCAGTATATGTTTTAGAATCCTAATTGACCCTGGTTAGCTAGTTTGACCTATAAATTTGACCTCACAGTCATTTCATTCAATTTATCAGACCAAATTGTCACGTTTACTAGTTTTGGTAGGATCTTTTAGTCGATAAAGTTTGTCTTCAAGTGAGTTTGTAGGCTTAAATTCCGCTTCAATCCTCCGCCTTATTGAGACTCCTACATGTAGCTTGTGGTGGCCCTTCTTTATATGGTAATATAATGAAGGCTTAATATCTCTTCTCCATGACCTTGATGTCAATTTTTAGTCCATAACTACCTTAGTTTTGACGTTTTTTTCTACCACTCCTTGTGTTTTTTCTAGATAACTTCGTAGGGGTGATTGTTTAGTAATAGCTTATATATGTTTTATTTCCTGACATGAATTTTCTGGCCTACTACTAGCTTGCTTTCGTGACTTAGTAGCGAACTGGTTATGTAACTATTAGGTAACGCCTAACCAACCCCAAGTAACTCGATGTGCTCTACAGCTGTGTCAGCTGCTCCCGCCAGTTCTGTCAAGAGGGAGTTGTGAAAAGGTGCTAGGATTAGTTGCACAATCTGTGGAAATCTTTGCAGCCTCAGTTGCTTGAGAAATGCATAACCAGTTTTGAGGTCTGCAACTACTTGCTTCATCCGACGAAGCAGTCACGTGGGTTTACGATCACCGAGATTCACATCCTTAAATAGCTCTTGCACTTTCTGCTGGCCAATAAGTGCGACGCGTTTGATGAGGGTGGCTTTAAGGCAAGCACCTATATTCGGTGCTGGGTCCTCTAACACGTCTGACACATCCTCGGTTACATTTTTCGGCTAGCTGACGATAACTGAGTTTGACCTATTTTTCTGTGAGCTAGTACGCCTTAAGGCAAATTGAACTTTCCCGTGAGCGAACCACGCTGATCGTCTGTTGTTCGAAAAGATGGGAAGCTGAAGAGTTATAGCCATTTGTGCCGAAGAGTCATTGTTCTCAGACATTGACAAGGTATAAAATGAGACACGACGTTGATAATAACAAAGCTACACACATAAAACAACCCGAGGGTAAACGCAATACAAAAACGAGAACAAAACCTTCGTGCCAAAAATAAAAATAGAACGAAGGAATCACCGTAGGATAGATAAAGTACTAGGCATAGTAAGAGGATGATACTCGGGTTCACCAATTGTAGGGAGCTGGATGTGTTACCATTAAGTAACGCTTAACCAACTCTGCTTTACCCAATATGCTGTAGTACCTGCCTAGTCAGTAGCTTACCTAAGGTGTAAGTAATGATGACGAAACACAATTACAAAAGTACTGTTTGCCAGGAAGTATATTCTTATATTCGAAGGAAAAATCTATTTAAATAGAATAGATATGATAATCATTATTTAGGGTAAAGTTTATCCAACTTATCAAGCTAATATAACTGAGCTAGGGACTATGAAGACATGCATGTTACCTAGCACAAGGGGAGCGCAAAATGGCGTCGAATCCTTCTCGGATGCATGCTCATTAAAACGAAACTTAAAACACCTTAAGCATCCGGAGGTGAGCTAGAAGTTTATTTACTTAATTCAATTTATTTTGGCCCTAGTTACATTTTGGTGCCAGGAGGGTGCACTACAACCTTTTATTTCAATAGTTAACCAAGCCAACCTTAAGTGATACAGAGTGGAAAGATCCGAAGTCTACCTATGGACTACAGTAAGATTTAGGTGGTCGATGAAATCCTGTTCACATATAGGTTAGCTGCTGATGAAGGCTTCAAAAACTGAAAGGATAGCGAAACAGACAGCAGTAAACTATCGTTGGAACACTATCTAGTAAATAACACTTTTTATTGTATAATACAATGTCATATAGTAATCATCATCTCCATTTTCAGTCAATTAAAGCTGAACAAGAAGAGTTATACCGTGAAAAAGAGAATTTGGTCATCACTAACAAACACTTTGAGCAAACTCTTCTCATGAAAATTGAAAAGGAAAGAAAATTGTTGGAGGATAATCAGTTTCTAGATAAACTTGTTCAAGTAAGCTTATCTGATCCACTGTAGTTATGTGTATTTCTTTCATTATTTTTCTGTTGCTGAAAGTAAACCTTATTTTTCATCCTTATCTCTGTTTTCACTTGAGCAAAAAGTGGGTGTAATTTACCACATTCTTCAGATGACCCTAAGGTAGCTGTTATACACGTTGAAAGCATCTTGTTTTCACATGACCCCAAGGGATTAGTCTTTTTCTGTAAGATACCAAACACTATGATATAAATAAATGGTAGTACTGATATTAGATATACACCATTAACCGGAGAAACCTAAAGGAAGTCGTCTGTTTCACCTACCTAGGCAGTATCGTCTCAAATACAGGTGTCGGCACAGACGACAAAGTCAAAAACAGGCAGGATCGGAAAAACAACAAGACAGGCTTTCATCAATCTGAAATCAGTGTGGAGATCTACTACACTCAACCCAGAATAAATAACAACATCCGGATTTTCAACACTAAGTCAGTCAGTCAGTCAGTCGGTGCTTCTATATGATGCTTGAGAGACTTGACGCTTCACGGAAAGCACTCCCAACAAACCACAGACATGCATGATCAACAGCTGTTGTCTACGCTCACTCGATAGTGGAGATGGAGATCAGATGGATTGCCAGAATAATAAGAATAAGCAAGGAGGAACTCTGACTGGCAATGAACCAGTGAAGTAAGAAGCTATCGCCCAACAAATATGCAGAAGAAAGTGTAGATGGATTGGGTTTGGTGTACACTGATAAGATGGTTTGATGACATCACGTGCCAGGTGAGTCCAGGTCAGGCCGTCGAGTGGAATGTGAATGGGAAATGACGAGTTGTGCATTTCACGTGATGTTGACATGGAGGAGATGGTGTGAGGAAGAAATGAAAGTTTGTGGGTAATCGTTGAGGTAGGTTATGAGGACTGTGTAGAAGAGAGTGCAATGGTGACGTGCTACTGAGTCCGTATGTTCCACTAGGAACCTTAGGGATAAATAATAATAATAATAAATAATGGTTACTGATAAGTAAGCAATTTTATGTTGTCTACTCCTAAAGCTGACGGAATTATTTCAATATTTTTGCAATATGGGTTACTTACCATCATGGTGGACTTTTATAGTTGCTAGTTGAATGAAGGTAATCGACAGGATGTCATGGTCGACATTAGTGTTATGCTTACTGGCACTCATAAGCAAAGGTTATCTACTAGTTCAGAGGAATCACTGTCCTCTGTAAGATTCAAACTACCGTTGCTCATTGCTGCAGTCATAAATATCATCATTGATCTATTCTGATGGTGATTCACCTTCTGTATGAACTGATTACATAGATCGATTGATCACTGAATAGATGTTAAGTCTACTGACAACCTATCTATACTAAAGTAGTATGTAACCCATAGTAGTATCAGTTAATAGGAAAGCTATAGGTGGTTAAACAAATTCAGGCTTGTTTTTTCTTTTAATTTCTGATTGTTAGTATCAGCTGAGTGTAGGGGGTATTAGACCACTGGTTACGGTCTATAGGACAGTGTAAATAGACTTAAAATCTACTGACAAACTGTTGATTTATCTTCATTTAAACAATAAAATCATTTATCTGTATTGCGTTTTAGTCACCTTACATTTCTAAATCATCTTTGACTGTTACTACTTACATTATTATTATTACTTCCATTTCCTATTGTTAAATTCCTTCACGATGTGTTGTTATTGTGTCAACTTGAACCATGTCATTTAGGATAAGATTCATGTCTGTCTGTCTATTTCTCTATCAGCCAATATGTTTACCATCAAATTTGTTCGAAAGGTGATTAATTTAAATTTATTTGGATTGTTTCAGTATTTCAATATTTGATTAGTTTCATTTATTGTTATTAAATGGGGAATAAGTTGCTTTGTTGAAGGAAAAGTGAAATTTCATCAAAACAAAAGAAATCAAGGGAATCAGGTGATTTTCAGGTGATTCACATAAATCAGCCATATATTATTCTGATTTTCCGCTGTGAGTTAAGAATAACTCACTTTCAAATGGATGGATTATGCGAAATTAAATAAATAATCCGTCTTCTCTATGTTCGCTACTACTTTGGGAATCGGATTACAAACAGACAGACAGACAGACAGACAGACAGACAGACAGACAGACAGACAGACAGACAGACAGACAGACAGACAGACAGACAGACAGAGGAGTAAGGTCAAATTACGCAAACAAGTGTATCTGGTACACTGACAACAAGGTACAGAAATCCCTACGATGAGCAACACATATCTAGTCTTCATCAACTGACTTAGCTTACTCATCTAGCACTGTATGCTTGACTGCATCAACAGCCAACCCATTAGGCCGGTTGAAAGTAACGAATTAAGTGGAGCAATCGGTGCTCCTAGCTACTTCACTTACTACTAATGAACACTTTGTCAGTACATACTAATTCTGAGGCATCATATTGCACCTACTTTTTTTCAAGGCATTCAGAAAACACTGGGATTTGCAAGTAGTTACCTCGAAAGATAACTGACAGGGAGTTACCGGTCTAACTACTTGGAATAACGACCTACTTAGCAATGGATACGGTCTTGATGGCTATCTACCTTTCGGTCCACCTCGTTTGCGATTAAAAATTGACTGTCTTTCTGTCGTTGTGTGTATATCTTTTCTGTCCTGATATAGGACTTTCTAGCAGTCGGTACCCACGACTTCAACCGGGGTTGAACCCAGGACCTTTAGATTTCAACGTAAGTACGTTACCATCCAGTTGACAGCAACCTGCAAAGATTATTGCCTTGAAATCGTTCGATCCCCACTAACTTCCAAACTGCGTTTCTGTCTACTGGTGATCAGTGATATGTTTCGAAATCGACTTACCGAGTTTGTAATGTAAATCCATGACCTGTCGGATTAAAAAAATTGGGTCTGAGGATGAAAACTCGCCGATAGCATCAGATAATGGTCACGCTGAATCTCGACCATTGGATCCCTACCCTGTGGTTGAATGGGAACGTGCTCGCCACGAGAATTGATTTTCCTGGACTCTATTCCTGATGAGGCTGTCGTAGGCAGTGCATTACTGAAGGACCTCACACTTTAACCAAACAGCTATTCAACACTTCTAGATTTTCAATGGTTCTCCAACTAATATCAGTCCACAATGAACACCAACTTCAAATTTTAGAGGTTTACACTTTCTTATGGATATTTCTGCATGATATTTACTTACATTCATAGGAATGCCATCGATTAAACAAATTAGATGGACAGTGTTATTGAACTGTAAAATTCTCAACATGGTCGCTTCTTCAAACTTTGTTAGATCCCCAGATCCTGAGTTCTAATCCCGGTGGGAACAACACTTACTGGGAGGCAGGTACACCCAGCTGACGATTCCCAAATAGAACGAAATGGGCACTGCTAGCCACTGTCCATCATTACTGTACATAACTAAAACACAGGTAATATCAAGACATCCGCACAGGAGCCCATATACCAATAGAGACCGATCAATTCGGTCCAATCAACGATGGGATAATAGAAGCAATAACACCTAAACTATACCCGTTGTACAAGAAGTGACTATCGTGACTCGGTGGTCTAGTGGGTAACACTTATGTCTTAAATTTAAATCCCGATAGGAACAACATTCATCCAGTTGACTAGTCCCAAGTAGGACGAAATGCTTATCCTGGATTCCAGTACTAACCACTATTCATCATTACTATGTTGGATCAATGGAAACCTTATCTTTCCTTTATACTGTGACACATATGGATTGTTTAATAGTCAATTCAATCAAGGGGTAAAGGAATTAGACCGTTATTAATAAAATGTAATAATAAACGTATGCACTTGCCCATATACAAACGCACAAATCTCTGCACAAAATACACACATCTATATATTGATCCACCAGGCGTCAAAGTCACGTGACCCATTATTCCTCACCCATATATATATATATATATATATATATATACATACATACATGTATATACATATATATATACATATATATATATATATATATATATATATATATATATTATTGATTTTTAGATGGCAGTATTGCTCACTACTATCTGTTCACATATTATACAATAACATTTAAATGAAGGTTATCAATCAATTTATAAATACATATGAGTTTAAAAAAAGCTATTGAACAAGAATTTCTACTTTATAGCTTAGTTGTATTTTAAAAGTATGTCTTAAAATGTTGGTTATTACTTTAATTTTAGAAATTAACAATTCAATCATAATTTGTTTAGAGAACAAATTACTTGATTAAATGTTTCATAAATGATTAGAAAATACTCTTTTCAGACGAAGTTTATTAGGAATGACATAGCAACAAGACAAGTAGTTTCATTGATGTTAGATAATTTAAAAGGTAGTTAATAGAAGGCTTTGCTTATTAGCAGTTGTCAGTAAAGTGTAATGCTTATTCATTGCTGCAATTAGTCACATTGGCATTTAGCCATTCTATTATTATTATTTGTGCCTTGGGTTCCTAATGGAACATAGGGCTTCAGTAGCACGTCTCTAGTGCACTCTATTCTCTGAAATCTTTTGAACCTGGCTCTTCACGTTTGTGTGACATTAGACATAAGTCATCGACAAAATCTAAGTCTTATAGGATCTTTTCCGCTGTCCAGTCGGCGTATCCCCCTCTTCTTGCTCCTCACTGTTTGTTGCGTGATCCAGTCTACCACTATCAGGAATATCATGGGGAATAATAGGCAACCTTTTTTCACTCCTGTCTTCACTTCAAAAGCATCACTGAACTTCCCAGTGTGAATTACTTCGCATGTGGCGTCTTCAAATAGTTGTTGAATGATGTTGATAAAGGTTTATGGTATTCCGTTGTGTCGAAGCAGCCGCCAAATTACTTCTCAGTCGACGCTGTCAAAGACCTTCTCATAGTCAATGAAGTTGAGGTAGTGGGTTGACTGCCATTCTATACTCTCTTCTATGATGATGCGAAGCGTTGCAATATGGTCGGCACATGATT